TCCTATATGTAAAGCTAAAGTGAGCTGGAGTCACATCCAGGTAATACCTGTAATATTTAACTTAGGATGTTTCCACTTTATGATGGGAAAAGGCAGAAACTACACTTCTCAGCCTGAACTTTGCTCTTTACCCAGCCTAATGTTACATGGAGAGATACTCTCTGGCAGTCCTGAGCAACAGCAGCAATCTGTAGTTCCAGTCACTCACATGATCAGAGGAGTAAATAACTGATAAACTACCACATACTGAGGCACCATCATTCTGGGGACCCTGCTTAGTGTTACCTCATTACATTACATCTTCAGTAAGCCACATAAAGTACTCAACAGTTTGTCACACAACAAGCTTTGTGTAAGGTGACTGAGCCCAACTGCAGGCTAATGAAACTGGAGAACACCCACTTAAGGCAGCCTAGACTAAGCTAGGATGTTTGGCAGATTGCATTAAATGTGATTTCAACTTCTGTCAGCATCTCAGGGTCACACCCCACTGTAAGTCTAGAAGGACCACCATTCTCCTCCCCAAGGTGGGTGGGCTCTGATAAAACACCAGCAGGCTAGGTGGCGGAGGCGAAGTAGTTTCTTCGGAGAGCAGGTCTTAAGAATAACAGAATGCTCTGGCGTATCTCAAAATATTTACTTTTTCCTTCCCTCTGCCGGAAGCATGAGGGACTTTTTCTCTGATACTCACTGTGGAGATAAAATTCTCAAAAAATATGGGAGGCCCCGCTCTGGCTGAGGTGCCCTGGAATTTTTAGCTCTTAAACTTGTCCATGCAGAGCTTTCTGACCCACCAGTAAGGCTTTCCCACAGGGCATTGGGTTCTGCTGGGGTTTCCACTCATGGTAGCTCCAGTGTGGTGTGACTATTCTCTTCTGAGCCTCTCCAACTTGAGCAGTAACAGTTTTGCCCTCGATTTCAATTATTTAACAAATCTAAGAAGAGCTATCGATTTTCTCAACTCATACAGATTTCTCTGGTTTGCTTGCTTGTTTTCAGATGGAGCAGAGATTTGTAAGCTCCCTATACAGTGAGCCACAAAACAGAAACCTGTCAAATCTTTGTCTTTTTCTTTTTTACTTTCTTTTTTACAGTTTTAGGTGTGTCACATACAGTTTCACCTGAACCTCACAAGAACTCACACGCAAGCACTACTATTTTCGTGTTTTACAGACAAGGAAGCTGACGCACAGAGTTCAAATGTCCTTCCCCCAAGGGGCAGAGCCAGGTGACGTTAAGAGCTCAGCCTCAAAATGACAACAGGTTCCTAACCATCATGCTCTGTTACTCAGCTGTCTCCTAAAACTCTTGGTGACATCTGGCCTCGACTTAACCATGAAAAATTTAAGTGGTCCAACAGATGACTCTTCATTCTAGTCATTGTGGAAACTCCTACTATGATATTACACTTTACCACACCTAAAATGACTGAGCACAATTTGAGTAGGCATCTCCTATAGATGATTATAAGAAAAGAATGATCTTTTCCTGTAGTTTACATAGCAATGATTGCAGTTGACCCAGAAACCACAGTAAAACATAATCGCAGAAGCCCAGGAATGTCTTTTGCAACCCATCGGAGATAACTCCACATCAGTTAAAACAATGAAAAGTAACAGGCACGCTTCCTTCTATAGCAAGTCAGAACTGAGTTACTCATAAACGTAAATGTAAGTTACTAATGTTTTAACCCAGGTACATTGTTTTGATTTCATTTCATACACACTCAAGTTCACCATCTTTAGTAGGCAAGTCAAAGACAACATGTGTTCTTAGGGTTAGTCCAGCTGCATCTACGAATATGCATTCTTTAGGATCTGCATTTCGATTGTCTGCATAGTGTCTTTTTTTTCTTCATGCACTTGTGATTTATCTGCACCACTAAACTGTTTTCTTTTTCTGGCAACTAAGAAAAAAATGCATGCACTATTTTGATTTCCATGAGATTTAATATGGTTTTATATGGTTTGAATATTTGTGCACCTGTGCCTTTCCCCACCTAAATCGTTACATTAAAACTTTAACCCCAGAGTGGTGGTACTCAGAGGTGAGGCCTTTGGGAGTGATGACATCATGAAGGCAGAATATTAGTGCTCCCATAAAAGAGGCCCAAAGAGCTATTAGCCCCTATGCTTAGACCTGGTGTCTTTTTCTTTACTATTTCTATTTCTTTACTTACTTTAAAAGCAGAGAGAAGAAAGGAGAGAGACATCAGAGACAGATACCTTTCATCTGCTGGATCACTCCCCCTCAAGTGGTTGAACACAGCCAGGTCCAGGCGAGGCTGGAACCAGAGCCAGAAATTCTATCAAGGTCTCCCCCTAGTGGACGGCAGGATCCCAAAATAAATGGGTCATCCTCTGCTGCCTTCCCAGGCACATTAGCAGGAAGGTGGATTAGAAGTGGGACAGCTGGGACTAGGACCAACAGTCCATTATGGCATGCAGCTTACTCAAACAGCAGCTTAAAATCCTTTGAACTTGGTTGTGATGATTCCAACCTCAGAAATGTGAATAAACCCTCGTGTTCATAAAATCACTTGGTTTAGGCCAACAGTGATTAGCTAACATCAGGAGAGTCTATAGTATCAGGTAAGGTTTATGGTCCCACCCTATCTAATACAAGGTTGACTTCTATTCCAGTTAAATGTACACAATGAGAAAATACATACGTGGATATTTCCCTCGTTCTACTCGATCACTTGCATTCCTTAATGTTACATTTTAGTGCATTGTTTATGTCTCTAAAACACAAGTTCTAAGCTCTTTTGTGTCTAATAAATTAAATACCAAATAGACCATGGACAAGCTTATTCAAAGTGTGTATGCTATTGCACTAATTTTACTCTCATTCATTCATTCATTCATTCATGCACTGGTCATCTCCTTGCCATCTGCTCCAGCCTGATGCCAATACAAGGTGTCAGGCTGAGCAGCTGTAATGGCAGCCCTGTGTGCTAAGTCTAATCTCAGGGACAACAACACTGCTCTCTGAGAACTCAGAAACGAGGCCACTATTTCTCCAGCAGAAACAAATACAAGGGCAGCTGAACTGCTGGCCTGATATAGTTAAACCTTTTCCTTTGATAAAATCAGAATTTCACCACTTCTTCAGGTTTATAACAGGCTTACAGACTTGACATGTCATTGGCCTTAGATTATTTTTAATAAAGGCTACCCATAAACTTTGGGATACTAGGGGCTGGGTCAGACAGTGGGACTGCTGGAGCTGACATATCCTGACACAGATCTAGGAGGGGACAGAGGCTTCCAGACTGTTGCACAGACCGTGCACTGAACAATCCTAAGAAACTCCATTCCTAACACAGGTGCTGCAGAAGTGTGTATTAACCACGCCAGCCAATGAAGCAAATACTCTACTTTTCCCTAAAGCAGTGGATTTGGGCACTTTCTGATAGATTGAAATAAATAATGAGAAGACATCCTTTTGTGGCCTCACACTTTTTGTGACCTGCACTGAAGGAAAAAAAAAAGTTTTTGAAAAGCAGTGGGAAGGGAAAAGCATGCGGGGAGGGAGAGCATGTGGGGGAGGGAGAAGCATCGGCTACAGAGAGTGTTTCCACGTGCTTCTTCACTTCTCAAGTGCCTGCAACGGCCCTGGGCAGGAGCAGAGACTGGGGTTCCAAGTGCCATCTGGGTCTCCCACGTGGGTGACGGGACCCCAATCACTTGAGCCATCAGTGCCGCCTGCCAGGGTATGCACTAGCAGGAAACGGGAGTCAGGGTGGAGCCGGGTACCAGCCCCAGTCACTGCACTGTGGGACATGGACATCTTAACCTCCAGGCTGGATGGCTGCTCCTGACCTGACTGTGATGATCCCAGAATCACCCTTGCCTTGCAGCTGCCAGGATATTGGGAGGAAGGAGAAAGTGGTCTCCTTCGTCCTGGGGACACGTCCCCTAGAGTGACCCCCAAAGCCATCCCTGGACAGACAATAGCATCCCTGAAGGACCATCAGAGAAGGCGAAAGAGCAGAGCCAGGATGACTGTGCCCCCATGTCGCTGATCACAGTGTCCTTCCTCAGCTGAGAGCTCTCAGGCCCCTGGCTTCCTTGCCTGCAATCCTCTTCTGTGGCTTCCCATTCCTGTGGTGCCTCCAGCAGCAGCCCAGGCAAAACATGCTAACCAGACAACAGGGTGCCCGACCTCATCAGTCTCAGAGCAGGGCCAGCTTCATTCACTATGTCTGCCTGGCATCCCAGGGCAGCACATGGCTTAAAATAGACATGAGTAAGGACCATGACTGAGCAAAGTGGACAGCTATAATCATTAGGCAAAATGTGATTCTGTATTTTTTTTTAGTAACTAACATACTTTTCTTGATCTCTGACTTCACTACGATTCATACACAAAACGATGGGGCAGCTGGCTCTTACAGACGCCACTCACCTGCTGCCCCTCTTCTCAACAAAGGATGAGAGGCGGCAGGTGCCAGAGGGGCTCTCACTTTATAGAACCTCTAAAGGTGTGAATATTCTGGTGCAGCGGGCTAGGTATCCGATACCACAGTTCAGGTTCAAGTCCCACAAGCTCTGTTCCCTATCCAGCTCCTTACTAATGCACCTGGAAAATCAGGGTAGAATCATCCAAGTGCTTGGGCCCCTGAACCCATGTAGGAGACCCAGAAGAAGCTCCTGGCTCCTAGCTTCGGACCAGCACAGCTCTGATCATTGCGGCTGTCCCTCTCTACCACCCACACCTCTGTCACTCTGTATTTCAAATAACTGAGTCCTTTAAAACAAATACATGTTTGTTTTAAAAGAATGATCAGGGAAAAGAGGAATAAAGGGAAAAAAAGTGAAGCTCTTAATTCACAGAAATTGAAGAAATGGCTGTTATTTATTGTTATTTGTATTTACAAAAGGCCTTAGAAGCAAAAAAGAAAAAGGCAGGAATCAAATCACAAGTAAAGGAAGTGGGTTCTCCTGTGGCCCGTGGGAAGCTCCCACAGTAGGTGAGAAAAGCTCAGGGACTCTTACCTTGTAGTTATTTACGATCTCAGTTAGCCATGGCTTCACCGACTTCACTGTGTCCTCTCGCAAGTATTTCTCCACTTCCTCTCCATCATTAAAAGTGTGATTTCCCACGTGGATGGCTTGTTTCACTTCAGGCAGTGATAAAAACTGTGTATAGTAATTGAGGTCCTCAGGTTCCTGAAAAGGTGCGTCAGGAAGACGGTAAGGACCACGACTGGGAAGGCTGTGGGTCTCATGATGTGTCACCAATGAACAAGAAGCAATGTGACCGTGAACTACTCTCCACTCCAGAATTTTTCACTTGAGAGTGATTTTTTTTTTATTTTTAATTTATGTGAAAGGCAGAGGGAGGCATGATGGTGCTAGTGAGACAGAGAGAGAGAAGTCTTCCATATGTTAGTCCACCGCATATGGTCACCCTGGCTAGGGCTGGTCCAGGAAGGAGTCAGGAGCCGGGAGTTCCATCTGGGTATCCTTTATAGGAGACAGGGACCCAATTAATTTGGACCATCATCCACTGTTTTCTCGGGCAGGGAGTTGGATTTGAAGCTGAGCAGCTGGGATTCAAATCTGTGCTCATATGGTCGCCTGAACTTTAATGACACATCTGGATTATTGGATGTTACTGGAGCCATTACCTATTTGCAAACGCTGGATTTTTCCTTTTGAGAAATTTATCTTTTGCAATCTATGCTTCCAATTAGCTACTGAGTTGGAGGCAAAGACATGGAAAATGAAGGAGGTGACAGCATCCAAATCAATTTACTCCTTGTGGTATTTTCACAGAAGGAAGGCCAGCTCCTGGGGCTGAGGTGGGGGATGGTGAGTTAGAAGCTAATATTTCTTTCCTATGTTCTGCTCTGTATTAAAACCACACACACACAAATTCATGACTATAATTTAAGAGGAAAACAGATCAAATTTTATGAAGGACACAAGACAAAGAAAAAATTGTCCATCAGTCTTATTTAAAAAGAAAACATTGCCTAAAAGTCTCAGTATTAAACACGACTCTCAAAGAAACAATAAATAAATATCTTCATCCCACCAAAAAAATTTAAAATAAAAGATTTTTAAAAAACTGTTAGGATTTGGGCCCAGCGCAATAGCCTAATGGTTAAAGTCCTTGCCTTGCACGCCCGGGATCCCATATGGGTGCCGGTTCTAATCCCAGCAGCCTCACCTCCCATCCAGCTCCATGCTTGTGGCCTGGGAAAACAGTTGAGGATGGCCCAAAGCTTTGGGACCCTGCACCCGCATGGGAGACCAGGAGGAGGCTCCTGGCTCTTGGTTTCAGGCCCACTCAGCACTGGCTGTTGCTACCACTTAGGGAGTGAATCATCGGAAGGAAGATCTTTCTCTCTGACTCTCTTCCTCTCTGTACATTTGACTTTCCAATAAAAATAAATAAATCTTGGGCCCGGTGCGGTGGCGCAAGTGGTTAAGGTCCTCGCCTTGCATTCCGGGATCCCATATGGGCACCGGTTCTAATCCCGGCAGCCCCACTTCCCATCCAGCTCCCTGTTTGTGGCCTGAGAAAGAAGCCTAGGACGGCCCAAAGCTTTGGGACCCTGCACCTGCGTGGGAGACCCGGAAGAGGCTCCTGGCTTCAGATCGGCATAGCATCGGCCATTGCGCTCACTTGGGGAGTGAACCATCGGACGGAAGATCTTCCTCTCTGTCTCTTCTCTTCTCTGCCTTTCCAATAAAAATAAAAATAAATCTTTAAAAAAAAATAAATCTTCAAGAAAAACCTGTTAGGGCTTGAACTGTAAAATTTTGTGCTTCATCAGCAATGTCAGATAACCATGTATATATTAAAGTTCACACAAAAATATAGACACATATAATCACAAATTCTGTTTCTCTCTTGCCTATCATCCTCTACACACACACACACACACACACACACACGGGGTAGAACCAAAATCCAAAACCACAGGGCTGGCGAATTCTACCAAAATGAACTTCGTATTTTATTCATGGAAGGGTTCATAAATAAGGCACTTTTAAAAACAGAAGCCATTGTCATGTGTGGCACACAAAACATTACACAAACCCAAACATTCACTCTGGCTCCCTTTTTCTTATTTGATTACTTCTACACAGACTTCAGCTGCGGCCTACTTTTATGAAAGAAAATGACTTGAATGTTTTTGAGAAATATTCCAGAGAGTTTGAAATGAGGGCCACACTAAACGAGCTAAACATCTTAGGTTAAAAGCAAGACAAAGCAAATATTTTCATAAAGGCTCTGGCAGTTTTAATGATTCCAATTACCTTAAGTATGAGAGAAAGAATGTGGGCCATTTTCAAGAGACTCACAAATGGGCTTGAAATGCTGAGATGTGATACACAGAACTCCAGCAGCCTGTATCCCTCACAGCAGAATCCCCGGGTCATGAGCTCTACTGAGGGGCTGCAGGGGGCGCTGTGCTCATCAGGGACTGTTCTGTGTCATCAGGAGTATCACACATCTGCCAGGGTCAGAACATTCCACATAAACCCTGGAGGACCCCATAGGTCAGCAGATCAAACAACGCAACATTATTTGAATAGCAGGAAATTATTTACAATATTTTTTCCAAGTTGGACAAAATCTGATTTTATCAAAAAAAAGGTTTAAGCAAGCATTTTAATGGTTTTTAAAAACATGACTTCACATTTGTCAAACTCTTTTTTTTAAGTGGGTCATTAAGCCTTTCATTACAAGGTAAATTTAAAATGCTATATCAAGGGCCCAGTGTGGTAGCCTAGCGGCTAAAGTTCTTGCTTTGCATGCGCCAGGATCCCATATGAGTGTCGGTTCTAATCCTAGCAGCTCCACTTCTCATGCAGCTCCCTGCTTGTGGCCTGGGAAAACAGTTGAGGATGGCCCAAAGCCTTGGGACCCTGCACCAGCATGGGAGACCCAGAAGAGGCTCCAGGCTCCTGGCTTGGGATCAGTTCAGCATCAGCCATTGCAACCACTTGGAGAGTGAATCAGCGGATGGAAGATCTTTCTCTCTGTCTCTCCTCCTCTCAGTATATCTGACTTTTCAATAAAAATAAATAAATCTTGGGCCCGGCGCGGTGGCGCAAGTGGTTAAGTCCTCGCCTTGCACGCCCGGGATCCCATATGGGCGCCGGTTCTAATCCCGGCAGCCCTGCTTCCCTTCCAGCTCCCTGCCTGTGGCCCGGGAAGGCAGTCGAGGACGGCCCAAAGCTTTGGGACCCTGCACCCGCGTGGGAGACCCGGAAGAGGCTCCTGGCTTCGGATCGGCATAGTATCGGCCCGTTGCGCTCACTTGGGGAGTGAATCATCGGATGGAAGATCTTCCTCTCTGTCTCTCCTCTCTGTATATCCGCCTTTCCAATGAAAAATAATAAAAATAAATCTTTAAAAAAAAAATAAATAAATCTTTAAATAATGCTGTACCAATAAAGACTAAGATGAGAAAACAATTTTTTTAAAAAAAATATGATTACCGTGCACTGTAAGAAGTTGTAGTAGTTGACACATCCTGTAACATTCTGGAAGTACGAAGCCTCATTGGTTAGGTCGCCATCTAGTAGTCTATCCAGTATCTAGGTTAGAAAAGGGAGAAGGACAACATCATGCAAAAAATGTACAGGCTTTTCAGTTCATTCCTTCAATACTTTTTTTCAGTCCTTCATGGTCTCATTTAATGAGCATTGCTTAAAATCCTCTGGTTATACAAGGTCTTGGCCATGGAGGGATCTCAGTAAACCAGCAGACCAAATACTCCCTGTCATAAGCCTAGAGGGGGACAACAAGTTAGCTCCACGCGATGAAATACACAGGCTGTTGGTGAGTGAGCAATGCTGCAGGAAGTTAGGGAACTGAAGAGGGGCAGGAAGTATGGAGTTGCATGTGTGTGTTTGTGCATGCCTGTATGTGTGCACAGACCACGATGGAAAAGGCTCTGACTTGGACCATGGCTCCTGAATTAAGTAAGATGCGTTGGGAGGAAAGGGAAGTGAGATGCAGGATGGCATCTAGAGAAAGAACATCGTGGGTGGAGGAAACAACCGGCGCCAAGGCCTCTACGGTAGCTAGCAGCTTTGAAGGGGAAAGCTGTCTTAGCATGGATCACAGATCACCCACGGCAAGAGGACCAAAGATATGGGCACAGACACAAAGCCTGGGAGTGGGTGGGAGTTTTCTGTGGACAGTCAGTGTCAGAGAGCCCAGCCAGCAGCCAGGAGGGGAGCAGTCAGCAGGATGGAGTGCTTTTCTCTAGCCACGGTTGGCTGCCAGGCAGCAAGGTACAATTAGCTAGGGCTGTGGTTTAGCCAAGGCCATGGGAGGAAGCGTGAAAGTGAGTGGGCATGTATGTGATGACTGACCTTGGCTTTCAGGTGGATGATTAGAAAAAACACAGACCTGGAGGAGTCAACAGTCCTGAAGAGGTAGTAGGCACAATGGGTTGAAATGCAAATGGGGCTGCAGGATCATTAGATTGATAGACGCAACCTGCAGGGGTAGGTGGTGGCAGTTGAAGAATGATGCTTGAATGTGAGGTTCTGGGGTAGCTTCTGGGCTTTTCTGGGTCTGATTTTGGGTTTCTGGTACTGGGAACAAGCAGTCAAGGCAAGCAGAAGATCATGGTACAAAAGGAGGCCGAAACACTGAGAGAATTAAAATGCTGCCAGCGTGGATGCTCCAGTAATCGGGAATGATGACAAGAGAGATGCCACAAGGTCTTTGCAGTGGCAGAAAAAAAAGAAAAAAAACCCACCCAGTTTCCTGCATCACAAAATGTAATGAATGTTCCCATTTTAAATAAAAAAAAAGGAGAAAACAAAAGGGTAAAGAACTTGACCATGTTGCCAGATTCTCTAACTTAATTTTAGGGGAGTAATGTAACAATCTCCACAAATTTGGCTGGCCCTTTGTAGATGTTTCAAATCACCATATTTAATCATCTTTGTTCCTGGCACACAGGGCCACACGACATTAGTTAAACGCTGTGGTTCCTTTTCCAGAGGAAACCCTCTGGTGGATATGACCCTCTGCACCGTGTATGTGGAGACACATGTGTACCTCCTGGGTTGCCTTTTTCCTTCTGATCACTAGAGGATGGGTTGGCCTCTAAGTCCTGGGCAGCATTTTACGACGTTAAAACAGCTGATGAAAGACACAGATTAAACACTCCAAGGCAATCTCAGGTGTAAAACACAGGCAATTTCCTTTGTGAGTCCTGAATCTGTGCATCTCACTAGCCTCCGGGTCGCAGACAGCAGGGCAGCTATTTCTGCTCCAACAAAGACTGTCCCCAACCCCCACTCCCAGTTTCAACACGCTCATGCTGCTGCCGCCCAGTCCTCAACTCAGATGGTTCTAATTGCTCAGGGATAACAGCGGGCCCCAGAACTCACTTCAAAGGCCTGCAGCCAGTTCCCCTGCTTGATGTGTTTTACACACGCATCACACTCCTTCTGGAAGTGTTTTTTCTGCTTCTCATCTAGCAAGCCGATTTGAAACAGGAAGGCTGCGTAGCCCCCTATGATCTGAGGACAAAGGAGACCCATGTCAGTGCCATGGAGAAGGAGAGAAACAAGAGCAACCTGTTCGGTAAAATAATCCTCTTTGCAACTCTCATGTTTGTATTAGCCATGTGAGGCCATTACACGTCATTCCATATATACACATAACACATAAATCCCACAAAATGCAACACACAGGTATATATGTATATATATATAGTTAGATATATATATATATAGTTAACATTGACTGCCAACACAGACTGACAAAGCAAACTGACGTTGTGAAGCTGTGAAACACTGGGTAAAAATGAGAAAGTTTAATTCAAATACAACTAGGGTTCCCCTTAATCAAGTTAAGGAGGATTTAAAGGGGGATTTACTTTCCATCAAGAACAATACAGAAAGAAAAAAAAAATTAAGACACCTACTGATTCAGGATCGAAATATGCATCTCCAAGGGCAATTCCTTTCAGGTTGAACTTCGACATACGCGTAGGGTTGAGGGTGTGGATGTAGTGTGCGATGGCTGGCACATATTTCCCTGCATAAGACTGAGGATAGAGGCTGGAATAAACCATCATAAAGTGATGCTAGTACAAGGTTATGCTATTTGAGCTAATCAGAATAACAGCAGGCACAGGCCCTTGACCCAGCGGAGTGCCTGGGCTCAGTCCTGGCTCTGCTCATGTGTACCCTTGGAAGCAGCAGGTGACAGCTCAGCAGAGTCAGGGCCTTGCAACTCACCTGGCAGACCTGGACTGAATTCCAAGCTCCTGGTTCCAGGCAGGCTCAGTCACAGCAGCAGCAAACATTTGTGGGGTGAACCGGCAGATGGGAGTTATCTACATCTGTTTCTGTCTACCTCTCAAAAGAAAATGACTTCCACCTTTTCTGACCTACTTCAAAACCTAAGTTTTTTTTCAAGATAAAATAATGCAATTTAGACAAGATTTCTTCATAGACCACATGCAATATCAGAGGGCCAGTGAGAGTCGTGGCTCCCCTGCTTCTGGTCCAGCTCCTTGCTGATGCATCTAGGAAGGGAGCAGATGATAAGCCCAATGCTTGGGATGCTGTGATCCCTGTGAGAGATCTGTATGGAATTCCAGATTCCTGGCTGCATTCCTGGCCCAGCTGCAGGTGTTACAGGCATATGGGGAATGAGCCAGTAGAATAAGGATCTCTCTTCCTCTCTCTTTCACAAACTCTGACTTTCAAATAAATAAATGAAATTAAAACAAAACAACAGTGAGTTCTTTGGAATTACTTCCAAATATTTCTTCTCTACTGGGAATTGATACAGATACTAAAAAGTATGTCTTTCAGTAGTATAATCACTCAAGTCATCTTGCCTTAAGACCGGGCAATAAAACGCCTCTCTCAAATACTAGATGGAAGAGCATGTACTTCAAATCGCTATATCAGGTAAGGAAAATGTCAACCTAAAACATGTGCATTTTTATAGCACCTCTCTCTTGTGACCATGATGTGTACCTGGGGTATATTCAGGCAGGAAATTAAGAAAGAACACCCACTCAATTTGAGCATCTACTATAAACCAGGTTATTACACAGACTTTTGAGTAAACTTACGGGGAGACATTATTTTCCTTGGTGTTACAATGAAGAAAAGAAGGGTCTGCCCCTTTCAGTTGCAGGCCTTGCTGGAATTCTATCCAGGTCTGACTGCCTCCACAGCTCTCAGTTCTCACACTAAACAACACTGAAGTCACAGGTCCTGGGGTATACACAACGGGTTCCTGATTCCCTAAGCCAAAACTGAAACTTTTGTTTAATTGCAGCAGGTTTGCTAAGGTGAACATTTGTGACAAACTAGATGGTGAAGTGGATGGTTTGTTCCATAATCCCCTCTAAAACCAGTTTCTTTAATATTTAGTCCACATTAGCTAAGCTAGCAATGATAATATTTATCTCATTTTATGCTTTCTAATGACTTACCATACAGTTTGTTGCTTTGTGTCAGTGTGGCAAATCCTTACTGCCTTTTTATTAATCATTCCATTGGTTGAGTGATTAAGGTTGTCACACAGTAGACAATTATAGGATTATTTTATGGAAAACAGACACAAGCAGTGTGATGAAATTTCAATCATTTTCACTCTCCATGTTGAGACAAATTTCTTTTCCTTTTAATCTTTTTTTTTCTAAATCAAACTTATTTATTCTTCTTGCAGTATTTATTTCTCAACTTCATGATTCTTTGACCAAAGCATTTTAAAAGGCAACCAGCTGATCAATCAAATCTGTTTCATTTTGCCCACTTTTCCCTTTCCTGTATATTAAAAAAAAAAAAAAAAGGATAGAATGCCCCAGTGTGGGGGTAGAATCTGTGGTTTCTTCAAGGATTGGAAATGACCTAGCTGGTTGTTCAGCTTTTCACTGTAATCTGGTGACCTGATGAACTCCTGCCCCCTTTGTCCCAGGTTCTGCCTGTGCTGACAATAACAACACCCACCAGAGCTCTCAGGACAGGGGCTTCTCTGACCATCCCCCACAAGCACAACCCCAGTATGGGCAGCAGCTGCTCAATACCGCCCCTGCAGTCTGTGAGTTAACCCCAACCCCCAACATCAGGTCAGACTCTGGCCTCATAAAAACTCAGACTAACATCAAAGCTATTATGAAAGAAAAAAGGGAAAATGCAGCCAGAAACTATCTGAGTATATATTATTTTAGGATTCGGTAATGACTTTCCCAAAAAGGCACTCTGCCAGATAAACATATACATCTACAACATAATAAGTCAGACTAGCTTAGCAATTCACACTTCTGGGCTTTAGGCTCCTCTTAGTATGGCTTTCTGATATTTAAAGGCACTTCAGGTTGCAAATCCTAGCAGGATTCTTGTTTGGTTCATTTTCCCCATGGTGACTGTAAGTTCAGCTCACCTCCAACATGAAGGCCTAGAGACATCATGGTGTGTTTGCACACACTTTATTTGCTGGAGCTTAAAGGGGCAATAAACCTCCAGTTCTCCTCTTTCTTTAGAAGAGATCTCAAGCTTTATCTACCCCCTGAGAAACAAAGGTCTCAGAGTCCCAGTGGAAGATCACTTCTGCATCTTGGTGTGCACTCATTCTGAGTTCTTAAGTGGTGTTTGGAACAGCCCAATGGAAACCACGTGAGAAGCACACGGCACTTGTAAAAATAGTCGAGAGAGAATGTAATGCTTGCTTAATTATCCAGATGTGTAAAAATACAATGGGATAAGGAAACTTGTAATTGTGTATTCTCTTACATGTTTGGGCAACAGTCATAGCTGATTTAATGCACCACTGCTCCCGGTCAATTTCAAGAAAAAAAATATTTCATATCTAAAACCAAGTTCCAATCAGCTCTTCCTAAAGGAAAACAGTGTCAGAAAATAATAATATAATGGAAACGATGTCCTCTTGCAGAAATTTCACATATGTTTGTAGTTACTATTGTTTCAACTACTCTCGGGGGCTACATTTCTTACTGAAGTTGAGTTGGGGGAAATAAATGCAACTACACTGATGCTCCTCGCCTCTGGGGACACACCTTCATAGTATAAAACGTCCAAAACATCCAGAAGTTTATTAGCAAAATGAGCAGCAGCTTTTGAAATAAGATGCCCCTAACTGTAGACACAAAATCTGACCATTCACAGACCATCTTTCTCAACCTCTGCCATGCCAAGGAGGTAGTCCATTTCAGCCACAGTGTGAGAGACCTGCAGGCCACTCAAAGTCCCTTGCCCTACTCCGTCTTCCTCTGGAGCCATTGGGCTAAAACTGGAGCATCTTGGCAAGAGTCATTGCTGGCACTGGTGGTCACTCCTCCGGGTCTCCAAGATGGGCTGTCCTTTGGGAAAGTCTTTTCCATCCCTTGACCTTCAGCTTTCTGGGCATGGACCATGGCCGACCAGACCACAGGGAATAAGAGACTGTCAATGCCCTGCCGAGAACTTGGTGTACACACTGAAAATGCAAATGTAAGAGCCCCATGCTAGGGAAAATCCTTAGTGTAGTGCAGCAAAACATCAGGTAACATCTGTGAGGATCCATCCAGCCTTGGGGAAGAGTCACACTTCCTCCATATCATGAGTCTCTCTGAGGAGAGATGTGTGGTCTGAAAATGGCCAGTTGAGAAAATTAATGAGTGAGGAAAGCCATGTTGCGGTAATCTCTACAACTTCCTAGACATTTCTAGACCATGCGTCATCTAATTTCAAGACCACATTGCTGAACTATTTTTTTTAAAGGCTTCTAACAAGAATAGGACTTTATCAAAACATCTCCTTCTCTTGAAAAAAGAAACTTTCAAACTGTACAGGCACAGGCATAAAGCAAAAGTGTTTTGATCTGTAGCCAACTTTTAGTCACATAAACTCATGCTAAGGTATTTGCTGCCTTTCAGATGATATATTCCTTTTTAGCACTGAGAAGATACTTCTGTTAAACAAAATCCATTAGTGACAGACAGAGGCGAACAAATGCACCCTTCCCCCACTTAACCTGACCTCAGTGCCAATTTGGAAAAACCCACTTTGAAGCCAGGTGACTCAATTGGATGAATAAGCCCCTTTGACTCAAAGGCAGACTATAGCTAATTTGACTTTTAAATGAAGAGTAAGAACCCACTGGGTCACACTCAACAAGTGAAGTCCTTTGTTTGTTCACTACAGATAGAACTCATAAGGTTGAAGCTGCAGTTAATGGGTTCAACTTAGCATTTCCTGTTCCAACATGGGCATCTCATCTAATCTGATTATGTTTCTGGGCTGCTTGCTCCAGCATGGTAGTTCCCCTCAGACAAAGCTAAGAATGACTTCCAATCTACTCCTGTTCTTTTCTTTGTATCTAATAATCAAGAATCTGTAAAGATGTATTGCTTTGATTTGGAAATGCAACCCAGAGCCACTTGTAAACATTTCCATCTGGCCCTCCTCTCCTGCTCAGTTTTTTGGGTTACAGCATGAGACTTGATTTTTGTAATATTAAACTCATTAAAGAGTCACAAACGGGTTTTTGATTCTAAAATAAAATACTGGCAAATGCAGATGAACATAACTGAAGATAGACATTCATCACAGGCTTAAGAGTTAAAATTACTTGATTGTTTGTTAACTAATAAAAGTCAGCAGGTTCCAAGGCTTCGAGAAATAATTACTTTCCAAGGAGTTCAAGTCTTTATATCACTTGAAACTTCCACTTACCCTATAAAACTTTACCATCAAAGCCAAGTATTCATGATTAAAACTAAGTCTGGGACAGAAACACACAGACGTTCTAGAAGCCAAGGAGTTTCCTTTTTGTTTGTCTAAGGTTGATGATCTGGAGACGTTGCAGGAAATCCAGCAGGGGATGGGGCCCCGACTCCTCTGTTGGAAAGCGGACCTGCTCTGTGGGAAGAGGCAGGCCTGAAGACAGTGTCAAGGAGAGGGCATCCACCCCAGCGATCTCTGTAAGCAGGCTTATACCCCTCAGCTCACTCCTTGACTGACATCCTCAGGCTCTGGAGTCCAGCTCCTTAGGTTCAGCTATGGTTTGAGGACTTGGTCCCTGAAC